TGTATGGGAACCTCTCGAGCGTCATCGGCTGCATTTAGAGTCCAAGACGGGCGATTGGCTCGCCCAATGAAAGACATCACACATCGACGAATCACAGGAATTCCCTGCCACTGCCATAGAATATCATTTTTCTGTGCTCCAATTTATCAATTGGAATGGAGCGTTTCTGCGATACATAAAACGGCATTCAGAAAATAAATAAGCGATAAGAATATCGAATAAGAACAGAAGAACTGTTTGTATTCTGGATTATTTGTACGAAAAGTAAAATAGCAGCAAAAATGAACTGCTTAAGCCAAATGGTAACACTTAAAAGAAGTCTGTATTTGGAAAGCTATACAGAAAGACAATTCCGCCGTTTCTGCTCGAACAAAATCATTGTGGTAACAATTCCCGTAACAGAGATCGACAGAGAAGCGGGGAAGTGATGCAACATAGAAAGTAATGTCCGTAATCGCTGCAGGACCCGCTATTGGTCGCCAGTGTTTACCTGTCGTCCATTGTCCGCTAGCGATTAACGGCTACCAAGGGATGGTCAGCCAACAAGTTAGAGCAGTCCGTAAGGGAGAGCGCAGACAAGCAATCATGAAGAATAAAAGATAAAGTTTTCGGGCGTTGATCAACTCCGTCCTGGGCTTTCGCTCCCTCATTCGACTTCCATTCAGAACTAATCATTTCCATTCAGAACTAATCATTATGTATGTTTATGTGGCTTAGACAATTATTTGTGGTGGCCAGCCGATGTACAATTCAGTGCTTTTTATCTGTCGGTACCAAATAACTGGCGCTGGAGAGGTGGAAGGCTCGTTAGGCCTAGATATCAATCGGGTGTCGAACCCTGACGATTCATACCGCGTACTGCGGCTCCGCGCTCACCTCTTCGCCTCTCGCGCAAAATCAGTGATGAACTCGGAGCTCTGAGCTCCGTCAATAAATGATGATTAGGGGTGCCTTTGCAAGCACAGATCAGGTAAGCACGGCGTCATGCGATATTGTGACGATCTCTTTACCAAAGCGTCTCATGGAACACGCCAAAACAAAAACCAGGATGGCCAGCGCGATGGTTAGACTTTTCACGGAAGCTTTGAATGAAAGCAATGTCGTGAATCGGGTGGCTCGAGAGAGAACGAGCTAGCGCAGTGCTCTGGCTGGCGACGGGCGAATGAAGACGTTACTAGCTCTTGTTCTGGGTATGATCAACGGGACTATGTAAAGGTGATGCGATGATATCGGGTACTGATATTCGAGTATGGGTTCATCTACTCGTAATGTCCTGCGTTTGCTGCAAAAGATTGAATTAACGACGAACGAAGTGGAGGGTTCATATACTCTGCGGAAGAGTACAGCAGTTGTCACATGACCATTGTCGCTTTCTTTAGGAATTTGGGTTGACATACCGACACAACTCATATTCGGAATACTCAGATTTTCTCAAAATAAGGAACCAGCTACTTCAGAATCGAACATTGAAAATTTCAAAATTATATCTTGTTGACCTTGATGGCTGAGACATGTCTCATTTCTTCAAAAGACTGAGTAATAAAACGACTTGTGAAGAACACAAGTGAATACATTTTTCGTTTTTCCTGCTAGTCGAGCAACCCCTAGGGACTTAGCTGACGTTGAAAATGGTTTCTGATATTCTTCCCTTAGATGACCTTGTGACTTCCAAGGATGGCTCATGGAAAGCTGGGCTGAAAAACAGCCAAAATAGGGCGTGATAAGGGCCTCAAAACCTTGGCAGGCGTACACATCCAACTAAGGCGGTCGAGTTCCTAAGCATTGTGAAAGCTTTAGAGTTCGCATCATTCGCACCGGGACCCACGCCTGATAGCTTACGCGCCAGCTGTGTGTAATGGGGCCAACGCTTGAGGCTCGTCCGGATATCCCTACAATGTAACTTCTGTCGTCACATACCGTCCAATACTTGATATTAGTTTTTTTCGAAGCTTGAATATCCATATCCATATATGTACCTGACCCATATCTGTGAGCACGCCAATTTACTCGTTTTCTTCATCACTTTTGCACTATTGCTGAATCATCAGTTCCATTATTCGTCTGAAACAAGATACCCCAAAATTATCGTGAACTTTGCCTTTAAGGTGAGTATTTGATCTATGTATCCACCCATAGTGTCACTCGTTTCATAACAGCTGCTGAATATGCCGTCATTGCAGCAAGTCTCGATCCCATTTGACGTCTTCATTATCGTACCATGTTTTTCATATTTCTTTGCAGAGGTTGCATGTTCATCCTCCTCACTTCCACGTCGCGTTCATCAATCAGCAGCCGAACGAACGCCTCATGATATATACAGAGAGATAGTGGTTGAATGCGAGCAAATCGAACGCAGTGGAACGGTATGTCATAATCATCAGACTTACCTTATAGCTCGGGTGCGCTTCGTTCCGCGCGTCCAAACTAAGTCACGCCGTCGGACGCGGCGTGTAGGCCGCGATCTTTGATAAACGTCGCACTTGTCAGCGGGGCGGATTTGCGCTCCGTCCATGGCAGTCAGCTTGAAGTGAAGATAACACGGACTAAAGCAAATCATTCGTCCTTAGGCCTTTCCAATTTGCCTTTCGACGTTCAGCTTTATCACCAGCAAAGGCTGCACTCAACACTCGTGGGTAAGCTGACGGAGCTAAAGACATGCGTCTCGGCTTGCGAGCTCTAATCTCATGCCCTATTTCCTGCTGCCCAATTGGGGAATCTGTGAATAGCAGGGCTTAGAGACGACTTCCCAATGCTACCTATTTCTAATGTGCAGTACATGATCAGGAAGACCGACCCTTAACTTTATAGCTTCTAACGTCCAAAACGGGACAAACTACGGGTAACAGCTCGAAATAAAATACTCACGAATCGAAGAACCACGATCGAGCAAGATTTCCTCGGTAATGCACGGAAATAATCATCGAAAAATTGGTAAACAGGACCGTCGAGTGGGATAGCACTCACCCTTAAAGGCACTGTTAACAAAAACATTGTTTCGGACATTTGCACATAGTTTGAATTCGACGCCCCCTCTGATACCATTTGTGCAGGAATGAGGTCGGAAAACGGCTGAATAGGGCACAATCAGGGGCCGGACAGATATCCACGGTCGCCCTCCGCCCCTTGATCGGTGTCACGTTAGACGAGTGTCGAGACGACACAGTGTCATGTAATCGCGCCAGGACCCACCCCGGATTGCAAATTGGCAAATTGCCAGGGACGCAATGTGTTGCATGCTATTGCAGACAACACATTGCGTCTCTGGCAAGTTGCCAATTTGCCGTCCCTGGCAATTTGCCAACTTGCCCGAACACTCTCTAACCGACGTTCCTTCACTGTGAAACTCGTCCCAACCCCTTTCCAGCTCTTTTTTTGGCCCTTTTTAATTCTTTTTGTTCATCGTTTTTTGAGCTTTTTTCGTTGTTATCGCTTTATTCTAGAGTAGTTCTATCAAGTCCCGTCAGAAAAGGGTACCCTAACTTTTTTGTGATAGGTGCCTTTAAGGCCAGAAATGCAAGATGGCCGTGTTTTTGACGTTTGAATGTTTTAGAAAGTGCGGAAGCACTCTTCATTCACTGCCAATTTCAAGATTTCTGTAATGGACAAGTATGTTTTACGTAAAAGAAGGATTTCGGTGCAACATGTACGGGCATTCCTGAAAAATGTAGGAAGGCGTTCTGGGGCTGACGCTTCCGAATCGAAATTGTTACGTTACAGCGCGAAAAGTGAGGCTCCGACGACGGTTCCAGGCTTTTTTCATTAGATTCCTAAGTGGGCTGGGCCTACGTCCAGTATGTAGAGAGTGGACAAGCCCCTCAATTGCGCCTAGTCAAGTTCAGCGCCGTATCTGTTACTGTTCGTACTAGTGAACATCACTGAGTGAGAGAGGGCAGACAGCAAGAAATTGCTTCACGGAGTACTGAAGAGCGGTGAGCACTGGTTCTCTACAACTTTCTGTCAATGGTTTACATGGAGCGCACGAGCAGTGCGATTTACGGTGCTGTGACTTATACAATAGTCGCTGGGCGCTGGTTCGGGCGGCTTCCGCGCAAGCGAGAGGGTGACCCATTACCGAAGTCCCCTCGATGAATTCATTGTCAGCCCAAAATGAGGAAAACATGGACTGGTGCAAATCATCCGCTCCACTGACACTTGGGGAGGGGGGGGGGGGGNACTGAATGCCATCTAGAGATCGCAGTGGGCTGGTACTCACGCGAAATAGGCGGGGTTACCTAATTTCGACGGACGCGCGAAACGGACTTTCTCCTTATAGCTTACCTAACTTTATATGAAGAAGATCAATATGCTCTACTGAATATTCCTTTTTATCATTTCACCAACTTTTGAAAAAAAATCTCAATTTTCCCCCGTGAGAGGAAGATTACCCAAACCCACTTAGTAGACCACGTGAGAGTTAAGTGACATTCTCATCTCTTACATCCATAACGCGTTACATTCCTCAACCGAAAGGAGTACATTGAGAAGGATAAGGGAGAACAATTTGTTATCAGGAGTTAATGGCCAGCCCGTATTGGACGCTGTCTCTGATTCGGTTTCCGTTCGCAATCGTAATAGCGCTTGCGTACACATGTAACCTACAAAACATCACGTTGTGGCCGTCAGATCAACCTTCATGGGTGACAAGTTTTCTACCATGGGGCTAAGGAGTGTTTAGGGTCTCAACCCGATTGTCGTTACATATACTGGATCGTTCTGCTGCCGGAGCCCTCACTGAGCGTTGAGTGCCATCGATTGACGCTGTACTATGAAAGCGAATGATATGATCGCCCAGGGAAAAACACATACAAATTGACTTTAATGACTAATGTTTCATTGTAAAGCTGCGGTTGTGTGACAAGTAGCGAGCGCTCCACCTTTTGAATGTCGTAATCAATCAGTACTTATGTTTTCTGTGACAAGGTTGACAGTGAATCTTGTGGTACTGAAAGGGGATAATCTTAACCTACTAGCTATTTCGATGTTTTTGTTTTCAGTCAAGTCCGCTGTCTAATTTTGATTCGGCACCAACATCACCGGTCAACCTTCCTATTGAACCGTCACCACCTGGTCATCACCCCCTTCCACCGTCGTCGCCATCTGTCGCTTCACCGTACTCGTTTCCTTTGGAGACGTTTGTAGCCAATCCACATGCTCACCATTACGCAATAATGTTGCCTGATGACTCCTACGGAGGTAGGTATTATATGTAAAAGCCATGAGAAATCATTTTTTGAGAGCCAAAAAGACTAGTTTTGATGAATGTGGGCATATCACCTTTTATTGTAACCTTGACTTCTCTCTTACTGTGATTTCTTATCCATTGAGGCTTTCGTTGTCTCCTTCACCGGTCTTTACTCTCCCCATCACTTTGAAAGAGATTGCGTTGGTGTTACGGTAGGTGTCGATAGCTCCGATGAAAGGCTCCATTGCCGACCGGTATAGTTAGTTGCATTTGAGCTGGTTCTAGTTGACTCGACTGTCTTTGAGATTTCCCTGTCCTTCACAGAACCTCTACTCTGGTCTTGTCGAAGCAAGCTGTTTGACCTGACCATTGCAAGTTTTAAGGAATTTTACTTGTCACTGTTGCCACTTGCCAACCATTGTTCCCTCTGGGCAATTATGTTGATCTTGTTTATATTGTTTCGCCATGTTTATGTTTTCGGATGCGTGTAACCGAGCAGGTACCTATTGCAGCAATCCTGGGTCCACCGCCACCATACGGTGTTACATCCGCGGCACAGTGCGAGAATGTGTCAGGAGTTTTCCAGGAAACACAAAGGGGATCAATTATTGATCAGGCGGCTGTTCTTCATCAGATAAATCATGAGGAAAGTGTGGTAAGACTTTTAGGTCTTTCCTAATGAACTCCAGTTTTGAATGAAATACCTACTACGTTGTGTCGCAAGAATTCTCAGAATTCTGGAATTCCAGGCAAGCATATCCGTAGAAGAAATCGTGAAATTGGTTGTGTCAGCAATGAAAAATTCGGGGCTTGCTGAGGCTGAGAAAGAGAGTCCTGAAGAGATTCTGCGGAGAAAGAGACAGCAGGTTAGTGAGTCGTCGGTGAGCTTCCACGGAACATCTTAATCTCATCTCTATTACAGAACAACGAAGCGGCTGCACGTTACCGTAAACGCCAACGAGAAGCAAAGAATCTAGCTGAAGGGGAGCTGGAGCAACTTATTCGCCGTAACGAAAATCTTCGTCAAACCGTGGAACGAATGCAGACTGAAATCGCCGAACTGAAAAGGGCGGTACTGGCAGGGCGCGGCTCTTGACAGCGAACGTGCTAGAAGAAAATACGTGGACAAAAACAGCTCAAGAAACAGTCAACGATGGATAAGCCTGCCACTTCGTGAACTTCTCTAAAGAAATTCTGAAAACTACAGTTACTTTGAAGTTAGATAGTCTCTAGAAACGATAGTGGGTTGTTTCAAAAGTTCTGTCCGCCGAGCTTTATTGACATCATCTATTCACTTTTTAGAAAGAGATAGGTCAATCAATAGTACAATCTCATTGAACGTCGATAGTCTTCATCCCTCTTTCAGGCGGCCACCCTACGTCGCTCTTCTAGGAATCAAACGACTGAGAAAGCTTCCGTCTGTTCATTTCTAAAAATGCGTCGTTGGAAGACTCTACAGCTTCCGCGCGATTGAAACCGCTGTAGATCCTTCCACGCTTTCTTCAACCTATGTAGTGCCGCTTCCGTTCTCGAGAAACGGACGAACTTGAATTCGCAAAGTGCAATGTCGGAGCTTCCAAGTGGATGGATAGCCTCATATCAATCTGATTCGTCCAATTTTCCGCTAGCTCTCTAAGGACGCAGTTCATGCTAATTCTGGAATATCTAGTTCAAGAGGAATAATGGAAGAATTGGAACAGAAAAATGGAGAGGCGAAGGAGAAAGCGCAAAGTCGGAGGATTCTGAGAAATATCGGTCTTCAAGGAAGTGTAAAAAAGAGGGCTGGCTACGGCTAGAAGAAATTATAACGATGGGAGCGGCAAAGAAGAGGTTAACAGGCGAGTTGTCATTTAGTGAAATAGCGTAAAGGGCTGGCTACGGAGGTCAGAAAAGGCAAAACTTGCCTACCATTGGGTGTATTTACAGTATTGACGTCATAGTTCATGAAAAAATGCCATGAAAAAATTGCCCACTGATGGTCCCTTTGGTAAAGAAAAAGGCGACGTATGAGTGTAGGTCCCACTCAGATGCATCCCCTTTTGTAACCATATGGGTGTCTCCCACCTGAGCACTAATCGTCTGGGTCCTAAGATTGCACTGTGAACGGTGCAGCTTCAACAAGACGGCTTAGCACTGTTCCTTTTGTGTATGTACATCAGCCGAACCGGTTTTAGCTCGTATTACCCTCGTATAGACAATTTTCGGCATAGAAATGTTCTATATGCTATCCTTGGAGACACAACTCTATTCTGGTGGAAACCTCAAAAAACATTTCCATCGTGGAATGTGCTTCTTCAGCTCGGGTCCTACAGCTCGTCGTACGGAATGCGCCTCCTCACTTACTGTACAGTTTCCCGATATATCGTTTACAGCCTCTTTGTGGCTGACTACAGCAAAGCTCAGAGAATTATTAGACATCATATTCAGAAATCATCACGTCAAGGTGACAACGCCTTATGTTGCCGCAGACAGAACTTTAGATACAACCTGACTAACGCAAATTCTGCTTCCCGCTGAATGTTGTACATTTTGTGATACATTCCCTCATCTTCTGATTGTTCGTTTCATATACCTACCTTTCATTTTATGACTCGCCAATAAATGAGGGAGTAACATTAGAGTAAGTGTAGAGGTCTTGTACTCGAAAGGCGTGCTGCGCTCGCTGCACCGCGCAGTGTAGAGCTAAGATTGAAATTTTCAGTGGGTGACCAATGTCCAACCAATGATCACTTTAAATGCCCTGCTGCCTCGTCACTACTTAGTAAGAACTCGGATACAGGAACAGCCTTCCTTGTGAAAAACGAGACTATTGATGCTAGAAGTTCCACTCCTATAGAAGAAAACAACCCAGGGTCAATTAATGGGAGGCAGCATAAGTCTTCAACGAATGCCGAGCTAAAACCTTGTTAGGACCAGCTCAGAGCTTCTGGAATGAATTTTTCCAATATCATAAAAAGCATATTTAAAGGCACCGTACACGATAAAAAGGTTACTGAGTTCTTCATTTAGGAATACTCAGCGGCCCCCATGTGTTGTAGAAGGGACCCTCTCACTCCCCCAACCTCGACGTCCAGGGCATAGTGGCCTCTTTTTGAAACTTTCTAGTAAGCAATTTGAAATACCACCTAAGCAACCAAAAAAAAAAGTAATGAGTACAAACTGTTTTTTAAAGCTGGTCAGTTTCCCTCTGAGATAGCCTCTCTTATTTGGCTGTAGTAGCTCTAACCACTATACTATGTACTTAAGCTGAGAGGGGTCCTGCTGAGCCGAATTGCCCGCCGGCCCATCGGACAGCTCAGATGAGCTGAAGTAATATTCGGCTTCCTTCAAATTTATTGACAGGCTGACGACGGACAGCCTGAGCAGTGTGATCTGAAGGTGCAGCGGATAAGAATAAGGGCTCGTGTCTGTGAAGCGACAGGTTCGGATACGCGGCTTTACGGAACAAAGTTTGGCTTGAGATGTCACATGAGGGCCCGTTCAAGCGGGGCCATACCTGCAAAATAGGTTAACACAATTTGCACAAAGTGTACATTCTGGAACACAACAATTCCCTAATTCAGCGATTTAACGTGAGCATTTGAAGACTTCTCACTTACGGTTTCTTAGCAAACCATAACACTTCACTCTTCAAATATTCATCTCAAAGGATCGGGGCTTGGGGAAGTTGGAGAAGTTAAAGATTAGTAAATGACAGAACCGATCTAGTCTAACAATTAGAAGGTCATTTTTCTCTACAAAACAATATGACCAACAAAGCAGACATTCTCGAACAGAATACACGCACTCAAAAAATACCCGAAAAATGCATCATCCTAGGGGGCCGCCAAAGCATAGCATGATCATATATCCCAATTAATTGAGGATATCAAAGCAATTAGATGAATGACACACATCTGGCTTCATAGCAGAGGTGATAGAGGGATCAAATGATTGTTGGGTTGCAGAACGTGAGGTCAGAAAGCGGAAAAAGGTAGGGCATAACATTCGCTCTACTGAAAAATAGTTGTATTGCAATCTCATCGTGAGATCGCAGTGGGCTCCGACAGACGCGCGAAACGGACATTCCCGGTCGCCACGACCACACGTACTAAGCACTATACTACTTGGGCCGAGAGAGGCCGTACAACAACGAATATGTGTAGCATTGATCAAAATCAAATAATCGAAACAAATACAAAA